CGCGCGGGAGTGTGAATTGTGCAGAAGGTCACCCTAAGACTCAAAAGGTCCTATAGGAATTCCTTTTGGGCTTCCTCATGTTGGTTTCACCCTTCTAAGCGCTAGAAGTCGATACCACACACGCGAAACCACAAAAGAGTACAGAAGCGGGTTGAATTTCTAAAACGAGGCGGGGCCCATTTCTAGGGTTCTAAGATAGTCAAAGGGAGATCCCTAAGGCTAGATCCTAAATCCTAAGAAGAAGACTAGATCTCACCAAAAATGAGGTCAACATGCACAAAAAACATTAATCATTCACCTTGCCTATAATTGGATTTATAAATTTTTAACTCTATTTACTCGCTTCCTCCTTTTGATCTTGATTAAATCTTGATCTGCGATATCTTCCACTAGTGTTTCCACCCCTTTAAATATTTATCTTTGCTAATTTCTTCCTAATCACAAAATTTATTTATGTTATTTACAAACAGTAACATTCTACATTTCCAAATTTTATAAATTTTATAAATCAACCAAAGTATAACATTCCACATTTTTTTTCTTTTCCCTTTACAATCCAATGACCACTTCCAATAATTAATTTTCTGATTAATTTTTCAAATGAATTGTCGTCTTATGATCATAATCCTTAATGTATATTTGTTTTTCAATTATGCATAACACTAGTTTTAATAATTAATAAAATACCATTAAAACCTACCTCAAGTCCTCTCTTTCTACTCTTTGCAAATTCAGTGAGCCCTATCTCAATTTTTTGAATCATATGCTCTTCAATCTTTAATTGTTGTCATAAATTAATAGAGCCCAGATATTAATTCTTTAATAAACATCAAATTTAAACATATCAATTTAAAACTTTAACTTCATTTACCTTATACATATTTCCTTCAGTCTCATCAACTCTCCTTGTTCTAGTACAAATATTATTCCATCTCTATTTTCTAATATTAATTAGCAAAATCCCATATTAAGAGTTTGTTTGGGACAGTTGAAGCTTATTAAAAAGCTATTGCGCAGCAACTGTGCCAGAAAGCTGCTGCAGAGAAACTGGTTGTCAGTTTATTTATTTTTCAGTTTTGCAGAGCTGTACTGCAACTGTTTCTAAACAAATGACTTTTCTACCACTGTAATAGAGTGTTGTTTATAACAAAACTTACACATTTCATACTTGAAAACAAATATCCTGTTTGAAAGTTACAAAATAAAAACAGACAACACAAAACAGTGAGTAACACAACTATTAAAATTAAAAAAAAGACTATTAAAATAATAATTACTAATATAATAATATTGCTTTTAAAATGTAATTGGTTAATGTCACAAAAAAATTCTTCCTCTAACAAAACTCTCTACTCTTGATCACTATCGGCAGTGAAATTCTCGAACCGATTTTTCCACCTAAAGAATTCACAGTTCTTCATTCTTTCCTTGGACACATGTAAAATTATCTCCCATAGTTATATGGTTATCGCGAAGCAAGCAAAGAACATTGTAGTCAACAGTAGCAGTACAATGATGTAAAGGTACCGGAAGTCCTCGAGCTCATCTTTTCTGAAGGTTCAAAATCACAAAGCACAAATCCTTAGATGCAACATTAGTAATAAATAATAGTATAAATACTCAATTCAAGTTTTATGAAACTATGAGATCTTAGTAAAGAGAATATAAATCAACGAATCTATCACTACAAGAAGATAGTATACTTTAAAAAAATATGGTTCTTGGTTGCCTTTAAACCACGTAATACCAAGCTCGTATGTATCACTTATGTATATCACCAAAAAAGACTATCCAAAAGAACCTCATAAGGACTAAAAAAGGAGATGAACTTAGTTGTCTTCATTAGGATTTCACATGTGTCGAAAACCAATAGCAACATATAGGTCATCCAGAATAACACATAAGATCGAATATCTCACCACAGATCTCCAAAACAAAAAATAAAACAAGCAATAAAATTTACATTACATATGATACTCATGGTTGTCTCATCAACCATCTAAGTGCGAAAAAATACATGCAAATGTCCTGGAAAAAAGTCCCCAAGTAAAAGAGAAAAGGAAAGAATAAAAGGATGCAAAAGGCTCTGATTTGATACTGCCTCATCAACCATCTAATTTTATTATCATTATGTCGCTATTTTTGGTACAGAATTGAGAGAAACTTCTGCTCTTAGGTAGCAGTAAATGAAAAGAAAAAAAGAGAAAAGGCCCACCAATCATGTTGGGTTTTATTATCATTATATGCTTTATCCCAATTATTTGGTGTGCACTTTTAAATCTATATTTATTTATTTATTTATTTATTTATATTTATTTATATTTATATTTATATTTAATCGCATTTAACTTAAAAAATATTTTCAAAATTATTTCATTTTGTTACAATTGCAACTTACTTTTTGGTAGGTCAATTTTGGTTTGAATTGAAATTTTTAAATAAGGCATAATGAAGACAGGGAATGAAGAGAATTGAAGCAGGGAAAGAATAGAACTCTAAATTATTTGAGTTTAGTAACAATTGAAGTATGTTTAGGTTGACTTAAGGCTTGGTTTGAATAGTTCCTAGCTTTTTAAGTGGAATTGTGTTTTCAATGTTCCAAACAGCGAACTAAAAACGAGTCAAGAGAAAACTTACTACGTGGTGTCCCGTCAATTCAGATGAAATAATTATGTACTAAGTTAAGAAAAAAAATACTTATATATAATTAATACATGATATATTGATCTTAACATATATTTTGAAATTTTTATATATTATTGAATACTTTCATATGTTATATAATAATAAATTTGATCAAAAACTAATGTTTTATTGATTTTATTGTATTCTTGGGCATGTTCATTAATTAACTTGTTTGTAGGTATGCTTATATAAACTCTAAATGCATATGAGAAATAATTTATAACAGAAAAAATACTCACGAGCATGTAATAAGTGTTGTAATTGGTAGACTATTGTATAGATGACCTGCAAAGATAAGGATGGCGGATCGACATTTGATATTGATACTGAAGCAAACCTTTTAAGATCAAGGGATTCATTGAAAATTGTTATGTTTGGAGATTATTAACTTTTATCAACAGTCATTATAACCGACAGATTGGGTGACGAACTAAAGAAAAGCATTAAGTCAAACCTATATAAGAATAATTGACATTCCTAAAAACATGAATGGCGAGTATAAAGGAAGTAAAGACATTCATATGATTGGTAAAAGACTGAATGAAATATATGATTATAACATTTTATTACTGTTTATAGATTTTATACATTTATTTACATATTTCAAGTAATTAAAACAAGTTCATTATATACTCTTGTCACTCATAATGTTCAGGGTTGAGCGTGCACATTATTTCCTTTTTCGTCTATTGAATCTTACTTTAGTACTAATTATTTAACCGAGTTTGTAGCTTACTCTAGTATGTTGTTGTTTTTCAGTGAGGAGTAAGAAGCAAAAAGGCAATCAGTCAAGTGTGCTACTGTATAGCTTCATGTGTGCTAGTGTATAGCTTTTTAGTTGTAAAATTTTGAGAAAGTCTTGAAACTTTTAAGATACATTTCTATGTGATTAATGTTTAGCAGTTCTGTATATATTTTGTGAAATTATTATATATGATTTTCTATGTTGAGAATGTGAATGAATAGTGAATTGAATTGTATTGTTTACATTGGGTAAAAGGTACACCAGGTAAAAGTTTACTCTTTCAAAAGCCCACACAAACAAGCATAGAGGCGAACATTGATACAGATTGGGCAGACTCAATTATTGGAAGGAAATCAACTTCTAGATACTATACTTATGTGTGAAAAAACTTGGTTATATGACAAAGTAACAAAATAGAATGTGGTTGCAAGGAGCGGTGCTGATGCAAAATATAGGCCTATGGCCAATGGAGTATGTGAGATGTTATGGTTGAAAAGAATTGTTGAATAGATGCAAATCCCGATAAGCATGCCAATGAAGTTATATTGTGATAATAAAACAGTTATAAGCATAGTAGAAAATCTAGTGCAGCATGATTGTAACAAAGAATGTAGAGATTGACAAACATTTCATAAAAGAGAAGATTAATTGTGGAGCTATTTGCATGTCATTTATCCCCACTGCCCAACAAATAGAGGATATCTACAACAAAGGATTGTTCAAGCATAATTTTGAGCTTCTTGAAAGGAAGTTAGGCATGATAGATATATATGCTCTAACTTAAGGGGTTTTGGATTTTAAGGAATATTTTATTTTTAATATATTCTATCATTAGTATTTTTCTAATTCTAGAAATAGAATTATTAGTATGTCATAAATCATATTTTCTTCTATTATGGAGAGTTATGGCTGAATTTTTTTTTTTAATATGGAAGTCATCCCCTTCTATTTATCTTGTAATCATTTTTTGAAAATTTGAAGAGGAATAATTATTATTTTCCCTCCCAAATACTACACATAGTACTCAATAGACGTAAAATTTAGATGTATGGTACATAATAAATTAATAAAAGAATTTACTTAAAATTTATTCAGAGGATGAAAAAAGTAACCATACTTGGACTATTATAAATTGAAATGCTCATAATGACTGTTCAAAATTTTCAGTTTCTCTAATCCAATTAAAACAATGATGCAGTTGTGCCAAAAGGATTCTAACACTTTTACGAAATCAATGAAATGATTCACGTGATGCAAATAGTTTACATCGGCCGAGGTAAACAAGAAAATCAAGTCATCATTAAGTTACAAAACCTCTTTTATAGTAGCCTTTACAGGAACACCAAGAACAGCTGCCCCATTCAGCCATCCATCTTTCAGAACCTAAAAGGAAACAATCAGACATGAAGTTTCCAAAAATTGGAAATTACTAAGATGGCACAAGCTTTTAATAGAGAAAACCCACAGGTTTACATATATAAATATGCTATTCGCCAAACATTAAAGTAAACTTGAAAGGTTCATAGCATGCATAAGGAGAAACCATGAAATTGGTGGATTTCTATGGCTAAAATTGAAGTTAATATATACTATTGTAGATATATTTTTGGAGACTTGCGAATTATTGGGGTAGTTTAGATATTTAAAATTACTTGGCTTGCACACGTAGATATTGGGGTGTGATAAATGACATAAGTAAGAAAATGAATGCATAGAATAATTAAAAATTGTGCCATCTCGAAAGCAACAAAGTAAGGAATATAGAAGAGATGATTCAGAATAGCTCTTATTTTAGTTATCAGCGTGATCATTTCAATAGTGGATGTTGTGTGCTTTCTACTGATCAAGAAACTCGATGACCAATTGATAGATTTAATGTGAATATAAATGAAGATGAGAATATTTCTCCCTAAAAATTTCTCATCTAGTTTCTACAAAAGAACCTAGAAATAGAGCATGTTTAGAAATTACAAGATGCTTTTATGAGAATAGACTTTTATTTAATGTGATTAGTAGTCTTTTATGAAACAATATGCTTTGCTTTGTTCCGAGTTATGAATAAGGACTAGATCATTCTAGCATATGAGTTACAAGCTTAGATATTAGAAGAGAAGGTAAGAAAAAGTGACAATAATGATAATGACGTGAAGAAGATGTGAATTAAGACAAGGTAAATTAATATCAGATGATTTGTAAGATATTAGATAAAGAAGTACTATAAATTTTCTTGTCTGCAATTCTTATTAGTATTTCTGAGATATGATGATGCATCGGCCTTTGTAAGAGAAATATAATTGGTATTTAAAATGTCTGATGAGGTTATTGAAAAAGTTAGAGAGTTTAGTTATTGAAGTTAAGGTTTCACGGAAGCTCTATGTGTTGCTCATTGCCTTGATGTAATACTTGTGAAAATGGGACAGTTGCAGCAGCATAAATCCGCTTTGCCTAAAGCAAAATTAGTAAGCAAATTTTTTTTACGATCATTCTTTGGTATTAAATTTGATAAGAAAATTCACAAATATAGAAATTATCTTAGCAATTATAGGATTTGCAAAGATTTAAAAAGTTACAACAAATTTTGTAGGTTATATTTGTTTTAAAGAATAAAATAAAATTATCAGGCCAAAAAGATCAAAAGAAAACTAAATGAATAAGATTATTATGAAATATGATTTATTTTGTTAATTATGCTCTAAAAACCACAGAGCCTTTGGTGAAGAAATGACTAACACTTGATGATGAGAGGGCTCTAGCTATGAGATTTAGCTATGAAGCTATGTTCAAAGGAAAGCAAAAAACAACAAGAGATTCAAAAGGACAAGAAATAGCTCATAAATAAATATGGGAAATCAATGATGAAAAATAGGATTGTCGACTAAATCAATATTTGCATGATATTGCATATTATTTAAATCTCCAATTTCATGAATATAAAGATTTTGACATAGATAAAATTGCTAAGACTATTTTATATGCATATATAGATAAACTTGTCTCTGAGACTATCTTAAAGCCAATTATCAACTCAAATTTTTATTTGAAAAATGAAATGTTTAGATTTAAAGCGGCTCAAGCATGCTACAAGACATTCTTACTAAAAAATTTGATTCACCTATAACCTTAAATTTAAAAATTTAGTATTTATATCTAAATTTTTTACCATAATATATATTAATAATTTTATTTATTCCTACTCTAGAATGTTAATGAGCACAATTTGAAAAGTGAATTTCTAAAACTCAGTGCATTTGTGATAAAAGTTCCATCTCCTCTATTCAGCTACTGCATTTGAGCGTAATTTAAGCATATTCAACTAATTGCATATAATGAGAATAAATTGATTGGTTGTATGTCGAATGAACAAGTTAATTTATGTTATGTTCACTAAAAACTGAAAAATAAACACCTAAAATCACAAAAGTTAAAATTATAGTGATGGAGTAGACCCTTTGGTTGTTGATAATGTATTATCTAAGGCTGAATGGATAAAACCAAAAAATATGAAAGGATTTAAATTTAAAAAATGAAAAAATAACATTTAATGATGATAAGAAGGAATAAATCAATGCAAAACATTTGAAAGAGGCTAAAAATGGCTATTGAATTTGATGTGGCTTCTATTTTGCAATGGTTTAAAAAAAATTAGCAAAATTGGGTCGGAGCTTCAAAAAAAACAAAAAAAAAAAATTAAGTATAATGGATTACTTAGTTGTGTTATAAAGTTGTTATTTTATTTAAAATGATATTGCATTCAATGTTAACTGATATAGAGAATAAGATAAGATATGGTAGTTGAAGAAGATTTTGAAGATGATGATAAGACAGAATCAGAGACACGTGTGTATAGGTGCTTGGCCCGAGAAACTCTAAAACCAATATTTGTTCACTCAGTATATGAAACACATTAATGTACCTTCATTAGGAAAGTTAATCACTAAGCAAACTGAAAATCCTAGACTGTTTTATTAAGTACAATTGGTAGATTTTTAGTTTCCATCATAAATAATTATATGCAAAATTGTCACAGTATTCATGGTTGAATATTACAAAAGGATGCTGGTTCAATAAAAGCCTTCAAAATTCACATATAAGTATGGAAGATGGTACCATAAAGAACTATAAAGCAACCTTCTTTACATCTTCAAATGATACCAGTGGCCTGGCAGAATCATGGATACATACCAGTTCTGAACCTTCATTAACTTCCTGTAAAGCATGCTAATGTATCATTATAGGCATAGGCAAAACAGGTTTGGCATGCTTAATTTAGGAAAATGGTAAGTCCACAATGACTAGAAACTAGATGCAGTGTTTCTCCACGTATTGCAGTATAATAAACATTAAAAAAAAAACCCAATGGGGAATTTAACCTGTTCACAATCTGGAGGAAATCTTAATGCAATTATAGAAGATATACAAATCAACGAGCTAGAAAAGTTTGTGATGTGCTGAATAAAATTGAAGAAAATGAATGTAAGACAATTCACAGTCATAAAGCTCAACCTACAATGTTAGTTTGTTCATCTATCCCCTTATCCACAAATCCATACACAGCCACCCTGCACTCCACACGCCACACCCACACTCTCATGTTCATTTTTATCTAGTCAATTTACCAAAAGAATTTTTTTCCACTGGCCTTCAACTGTCGAATTTTCAAACATGATTACGGGTTTCTGTTTATTGCAAGTTCGGTGATCAAATAGTTAAGGAGTACCATAAGCAGCTATGAAACTTCCTCTTAACACTAAATTAAATCTTATATCATAAAAGAAGTTAAAAAAATTTACAATGACAAGATAGAAGAGTAGAGGTCTTCCAAAAGAGAATGAAAAGAGCAAAGACGGAAAACTTGAATAGAATTTGTTTTATAATTAAAAATTGAGACTCAATAACCACGGAATGATTAAAATTGTATTTTTACTGTGTTTTTTATTGAAATATGTTTGTTAACTAAGTTTAATTCTGCATTTATAAGCAACTTTATGTCTCTAACGTACGCTGTATTGATTTCGTGAAAATAAAGTTCATATGTTATTTTGGTTTATATGATCTTCATTTAGTAATGATTTAGCCAATCATTTCTTATAATCTTATGTGAATTATAGGTATCAAAAAAGCTATAGCGAAATGGAAAGGATAAATTAAATAATTTTTTTGGTATATAGGCATATAACACCTAAAAAATTTGTAATCTTTTTGAGAGCTTAACTTAATGCAATCACTTGTATTGATTATGATAGGAATATATCAAATAAATGCAAGTCATTAAAAATCCGGGTTATCAAAATATACTAAGAAACGAAATTGATCTTACTTGACCACTAAAATTGAACATCAAGTTAATTACATGTATGCTTAGATTTACTATAGGCGAACCTTAGATCTAGAATATTGTCAACTAGTATAAAATCTTTAAAATATTTTGTATGTCTTTGAAACATTTTCTTAATAAATGAACTTTAAATTAATTGGTTAAAATAGAGGTCTAAGACTTAGTATTTAACTTAATGTCAAGTTTTGATTTAATCCTCGTCAGAACAATACTTCATTCAATATTATATTTGTTAGAATAGAACCAGGGTAAATCTTATTAATACAAAGAGGGGTATGAATACCAATTGCAGGATATAGTAAAAAGAAAAAAAATAAAAATAGAATATAGTAGAAAAGGAAAGGAACAATAAAGAATCCAAGCAAATAACTCAGAATAAACAAGAATTAATAATGAATAAAACTAGTCATTAATAAATATTCTAATACTATCCCTCAAGTTGAAGCATAGATGTCAGTCATGTTCAACTTGGAATTGAAATCGTCGAACATTGATCGAGGAAGGTTCTTTGTGAGAATATCTATCAATTGGCCACTAGATGGCACAAACAAAACACAAATTTCCCCGGACTCGAGATTTTCCTTAACGAAGTGTCAGACAATCTCAACATGCTTGGTGCAATAATGTTGGACTGGGTTGTGAGCAATGCTAATGGCTTTTTTGTTATCACAGAACAACTATAGAGGAGCGGAGACTGGCATAAATAGTTCTTGGAGTGTGATGCGTAACCAAAGAGTTTCACAAACTCCCAGGGTCATGGACCGAAATTCGACTTCCACACTGCTCCGAGCAACTACAAACTACTTCTTGCTTTTTGGCATAATCAGATTTCCCCACACAAATGAACAGTACCCGAGGTAGAAAGTCAATCATGGATGGACTCAGCCCAATCCGCGTCTATGTAAACTAATAAAATTTATATGATGTTTTGATTTTTATCTTTCATTAAGCAATAATTTGGCCAGACATTTCTTAAATGCTTGTGTGAAATATAAGCATCAAAAAAAGCCATAATTAAATAAATAGGGTAAAATATATATATATATATAATGAAAAAGTCCAAGGGCTGATATATTAAAGATAAAGATACAGATAGATTTGTATGGGTGAGCCTAAACACCTAACTCAAACGATACAACACACCAAAAAAAGTAAAAAATGGGTACATATAAAAAATAAAAAGAAAACCAAAAACCACCCGAAAGCTGAAAAAGTGTGGGTCATCCCAATCTAGTCTTGCCCCTGGCTCTAGTTCTCGGTAGGGATTCAGCTAACAGATTGGTAAGGTGTTGACCATTACCCATAGTAAACAAAGTATCATCCATTAAACTCTTGCGCTCTAATAGATCTTCATTCTTCTTCTTCCTCCTGGAAGTGTAAACCTGTCATTCCTCCTCCGAAGAATCTGCCTGATGGGGTAGAGCTGAAGCAGAAGGATTACCAACAGTAGTACCCACAATAGGTTCTACAATATGTGAAGTATGAGTTGCCGCTACACCGGATACTTCTTGAATAAGTGGAGCTGTGAGGCTCTTCTGATTATCAGTCTGAACACTATCATTTATTAGAAATAGTTCATCAGTATTGTTTTGTATGTATATATGTATGGAATTTGTAGGTGTCAGCATCGCATCACTCACAATAATAGTAACAACAGTGTCATGGGGGGTCCTCAGGTGCAACAAACACCTCCTGTCTAATAATATCCTCCTCAGGTGGAACCTCAGGTGGAACTAAAATGTCCAC